TAACCGTGGAAAATTGAAATACAGGCAGTCCCTGGAAAGGAAAAAGTTTATTCTTTCTCGTTAAAAGTACTTGCTTTGCTGCTGTTTGAGTATTGAAATGGTAGGATTGTGGAAATATATTGATTCATCGTGAGTATGTTGAGCAAGTGACCCGGAAGATGTGATTACGTAGCTGTAGGACATGAATGAAATTGGCACGCTTTTCAACTATAATGCAAATAGATGCTGTTTTGATGGTAAATTGCTTATCTTTAAGGAAGTGGCAGTCTACACTTCGTTTATCCACTAACTGTGTCTTAAACTTTTAATCCGTATCAAACTTCTGTATTTTTTCCAGCTTTTCGCTGAATTCTACTAGTATTAGTGAATATGTCTGCACAAAGGTGATATCAATGCTCATCATTTTATTCTTTCCTCAGTGGAGAGAAATTGGGTGTTTCTCAATTTCAGAGTTCTCTTTCCTTTATACTCACTTGACTTTGTACTTTGTAGGCCTAATATCTGAATTGGGCCAGTTTACCATTTTAAGCACTATGACATTACTCGTTCTTTTTGGTCCATTTCGATGAATTTGCAGGCTTTTGAAGAAGCTGAGCTTCCTAGGCTGAAGGAAGATAAACCAGGTCTTACACACACGCAGTACAAAGACATGATCTGGAAACTTTGGAAGAAATCTCCTGACAACCCTCTTAACCAGGTAGTTTTTGGGTATTCCTTTTTGTTGAATGTATCATGTGATTAATTTGGTTGGTGTTGTCCAGTCTTCTTCTGCTGATACAGAAGCATTTAGTTTCCTGATTTGTCTGTTTCATACTCATATTGAGTAAGGACACCGAGAGTAAAATGTTCCAGGACATGGGATGTTTTGCTTTGGTGGGCCCTTTCTTTCTGCTTGTTTATGTGGGGTCAGTAGCTATTTTAATGTGGAGTTGCTTGGCAGTTCTTATGCCTAAGTTTAAATTTTCAAAAAATGGAAAATCAAATTAACAAATAACCAAAGCTGTAAATGGACTTACAAATTGAAACAATTGACTAATGGTGAATGACATTTGCAATATTATTGGTACCATTGCTAAGTATATTGGAACTCATAATGTACTGCTAACCAAGGAATATGTTTAAGATTTTCAATAGTTGGGTGATTTTTTCAGCTTTGACCTAAAAATGATGCTCTGTGATACGAAAATTGATAAAGTGGGTTGTAAGTCATAGACTGCCCAAGTAGCTGAAGAAGGATATAGTTGATCAGAAATAAGTTGTTCTGTAATGGGATTTGTTGCCAGAAAGGGTGATTAGATTCATAAACTCTGAAATGTGAGAAATTATTGGATTGAAAGATCAATGGGAGTTGAGATTTTGGGCTTTTTCTCCCCCTTAAATCTATGTGTTTGTGAGATGAAGCTACTGTTCATTGGTACTTTTGGAGTTGATGGTATTTAAACAAACCTGTTCCTGGATATTGATGTCCAGTAAGTTTCGTTCTATTTTAGTTCTAGGTACAGTAGGGGTGATGGGCATAGTCAAGTGTGTAATGTTTTTGAAGATTTTGGGAAATATGCTTTATATGCTGGTCATTATTTGGTGCTCTAGTTATTCTAGAATTGGAATGGGTCACTTAATAGCAGAATTCACTAGGAATAGATTATCCTTTTAGTGGTTTGCCATTTTTTCCCTCTATCCAGTATATGTTGTACTAAAGCCTTTGATGCAGCTCTTTGAAGAGATTGGTAGAAAATTTAGGTTTTCCAGGATCATTCAACCCCATACAAGTTGTTCTCAATGGCTTTGAGAAGTGCAAATTTTGTTGTAGATCATGATATTGTAGGCCCCTGAATCTATTTATGTTGAAGTTAAGGCATACATGCTATTCTTTAGGAAATATGACCCTCTCAAGGAGGCTTCCACGTTAGATTGAGCTCATATTCTCATGTTGGGGGGGAAACTTCGAGCACTTTGAACTGGTCTGATGTGCTTATATTGAGTGTATCTTAGGGCATGTGTGTAATTGGGAAATAGGATGAAAGAGGGATTAGATATCAGCAATTGCAGTAATGATTAATTAATAGAATGACCTTGCAACAAGGACGAAGTTAATTTAAACTGCTTTGGCTTGTTAAGAGCTCACGAGGCCTGAAATTGTTTATTGAATCAATAACTGTGCCATGTTCCATTTCCTTCTTAGGGTGCAATGCTTGGCAGAACATATCTGGATCTTCAACTTTATACCTGGAATGCTAGGCTTCGCTTTTACTTTGTGAACTCGTTTCCTACAACTCTAAAGTAAAGCTGTTTGGATTAGTTTTGGTTGACAATGTGGTTAAGATTTAGGTTGACTTCTCCCCTTTCTTCAATTGAAAAAGTTGACCTATTGGTTCCAATAGGTGGATGGCATTTGGAGGAAGTTTTATGTTTCTACATCTGCTTCTAGTTGTGATGCAATGCTTTAATGATTTTGCTAGGTTGGGCTTCAATTTGTTTTTGTAAGTTGGTGGTGTTTCTGGAAATTCCTTTTTCAGTTTCTTATTCAAAAGTTTGTGCATTTCTTCTAGAATTTTCTCAATTTCTTTAATTTGATCATAGTGGTAGTTATGTATTTATGATGCCTTTAGTTGGTTAGTAATGTAATTGTCCATAAACAACAAAATGGGATAAGGTACAAGTGGAATGATCTACTTAAATTAGGTAAAAGTAGGAAATGTCGTTTGTGGTGTTTGATGCTGAACTAAATCAACGTCTGAGGGTAATCACTTACTGCTTTTCTATTTCTGGCTTTCGGTATGATTGATTTCTTTTATTTGGCCCTATGTTAAGCCATCTTCTGCTTTGTCTTGCAGGTTGCTGACATGCCTTGAGAATGCATTGCTGCTGAGAAGCAAGTTGATATCCTAAAAGTCGTCTTCTGCAAAGGGTTTTGCAGTGCATGTGCAAAATGGAGTATATAATTCCTGCAGAGTCTGTTTCTTTGCATTTCTGTAGTACAATGTGCAGCTTCTTGTTCGTCTCGGTGCAATCTGATTTCAAGAAACAGTGGTGTTACTAATAGAACTTAGAAAGAGAAATGAGGATTGCTGTCGTAAATCAGTACAATAAGCATCCTGAAATCATTTTGGATATTAAGCAAAAAATCATTTTCCCTTGCTACTCTTTGTTATTATACCCCCTTTATTTGTCCTTGTTTTGTGAACAAGGATTACATCTTGAATTGACTTTTTTTTTGTTTTAGTCAGCTTTTGATAGAAAATTGGTCAAATTTAATAGTACCAAAATTAAAGTCGCATTTAGTAAACTGTAGGCAAATTCAAGTAGTTCATCGTGTTTGGATTAGAGGATGCCGACTTGGCAAGAAGATGGGTTATCGTAAGAGCTCTTGTTTCACTTAGTTACAGTATAAAATCAAGCAAGTTGTTGGAATTAGCTCTATGATCAGCGAAGACGCCCATTCTGCTATCTGGTAATTCAGGTAGTTTTTCAATTTTTGGTTAATTGAAGTTGAAGAGTCAAAAGTACATATTTGTTGTGGGAATGGTTGGCTGTCGCTACCCCACCCTTCATTTCTGCTTAACGAGCTTCCGTGTGAATGAAAGACTATAATGGATTTTAATGGATTAGATTGCGTAACAGGGGATATGGCATCATTTCTGGAGCGTGGGTAAGTGTATCGGCAGCTTGCTATGGGTCAAAGGAGAGGGGTTAAAAGGGGATAGCTCTCACCTTTAGATTTTACTGTAGGTGTAGAGATTTGAACTTCTGATTTATTAGTTAGATTTGTACTTTATATTTTATTTAGTGGTTAACTCACTAAAAATGAAGTGGTTAGTTGGTATCTTGTCACGATTAGGGCTGTTGGTGAGTCGAATCATTTACAAGTAACTTGTGAGAGATATGGTCAAATGTTTGGTTCGAATTCAGCCAAATCAAATTCGAACTCGAGGTCGAGTAGTCTGATTTATATATCAAGTTGAGTTCAAACCTTCATTTATGCTACTCGAGTGCTTGTCAAGTTGCTTGATTACTAGTATATTATTTATATTATATTTTTATTTTAATTATGAAATGAATAATAAGGGTTTATGTTTTAGGTACTTTCCCATAAGTGTTGTTTATTCAATAAAATTCATAAATGGTAAAAATGTAACATTGTAAAAACTAAAAAAGAAATGAAGGTTTTAGATAATATACCATAAAATTTTCGACATTTTATCGAGTTTTTGGAGTTTTATTTTAAGTCTCGGAATTTGTTAAGACTCTAAGTCTTAATGAGAGTCGAATTCGAGTTTGAAAATTCATATTGTCGAGTCGAGTTGAGTTACATAATTTTCTACTCGCTCGAGTTGAATTCAAGCTCGAGCATGACATTATTCGAACTTGATTACACTCGTTGACATCCCTAGTCATGAGTACAAAATTTGGTAATTGTCAATGTTTGGTTCATTCACAAATGATAAACAAAATAAGGCAGACACAACGATGTTTGACACAACTCACATGGTCGCTGAGAGGAGATATGTGGTATGTCATTACATCCATTTTTTTTTTTTTTTTCACAACGATTTTATTCTACTCCTACACTAGCTTGCTGTGGGGAAGGGGAGCCCAAAGAGGAGGTATGGTACATCGGAACATCGAGTGGCATCTATTTTTAATTCGTCCGGTTAAAACTATTGAAGCTAGCATGGGCAAAAGGCAGAGATTAATAATCCGGGCTTGTGGGGGCGGACGTCCGGCTTCCATCGTCGATGTTTTGTTATAAAGACAAGCTAACGCCGCCAAAGTAGTAGTAGTTACAAAGACAGCACTGTGGTAAATCATCTTGTAAGAGGGTATTGTAATAAAGTATCTCCATTCAACTGGATGTAAAATGACTGAAATCGTCTGCAGTAAATACCATTCCGTGATGCAATTGCACTCCAAGGCACTTTCCTCAGTTGTCGGTGTCTTCAAAGTCATGGGAGCGGATATTGTGTTTTGTACTCTAAAAGCACCTACCAACCATGAGTAAATGCTCAACATAATGAACTAGCTACCGAAATTTATGCCAAAGGGCCACATATAATCAAATCAGGCACCTCAATATTGGAAAATACTACCAGATTCTCTAGACAATTCCCAAAGCGGGGTGGTGGATAAATGAATCTTTAGCTTCATTATGGTGAAATTGCGTGTTTTCATTTTGTAGAAGGATATTGGCTTTACATTGAGAGGCTTTAATGATGGTTGGAAGCCCAAGGATCAATGGACGTATCTTTTCGCTGCTAAAGGCCGGGACTGGCAAGAAGAGAACCATTATCGTTGGTCTGAAATCTGATAACTACAGCAGAGAAATGCTTCGCCGCTTACTAAGTAGTTCGGTAGTGGTGCCAGGGGACAGTGTGCTGGCAGTTCATGTGCAAGAGTCGAATGATGGCTTTGATCCAAACACTTTCCTCATCCATGAAGATCTCTGCAAGTACAAACAGGTTGGTATATTCTTTAACACTGACAGCTTTCTGTTAACAATGGCAACATCCTTTGATCTCTCATTGTCATTGCCCAATGACCTGTGAACCACCGAAGTGGTTTGACAAATTAAACTCCCATGTAATGACCTCTCTAGGTGGATTTCCAAGTAAAGCTTTGTAACGGAAGCTCATATATAGTCGAATTGAGTCATCAGGTACGCGTACACTTTGCCACAATTCTGGCAGTCGGGTGCAGCAGTCAATGGTATGGCGATCCTCTCTCTAATGAGTTTTTGTTGTAGCTTGCATTGCTACATTAATACCCCCCCCCTCTCTCTCTCTCATTAGTCATTTGTCGGCAGGCCCAAAGATTCAACTGTTAACAAATGCTTAAAGGCATTGCCTCCAAGTTGCTCCCTTCTGGTTATGGATAATGGAGGTAAAATCTTATTGCAGAGGCAAGGAACTTCTCAACAAGGTTCTGTAACTAGAGTACTCCAGTCTTCTGTGTCATCCCTTTCCGAATTTGGTAGCCGTGACCATTCAGAGACTAGATTTCATCTTCAGAAATCACGGACAATGTCATGCCCCTCAACTTCATTACCTGTACAACCTACTGGAAGCAAGAAACTGCTCAGCATTAGGAAAAACCTAAGCTTTCCAGGTGTAACACAGAAATTGTTTGAGAGGTTAGCTACTTTGGAGGTGAAGGGAAACAGCAGACGCTTTACACTGGAAGAACTAAGGCGTGCAACTAACAAATTTAGTCCTGAGGTGTTGATTGGAGAGGGAGGACATAGTAAGGTTTATCGAGCCGAACTTGATGATGGTCAGGCTGCAGCAGTGAAAGTGCTTAACATCTCGCAACACTCTGATGAGGATCTCTTCCGGGAGGTGGAAATGCTGAGCAGTTTAAAACATGAAAACATAGTTCGGGTTCTAGGATTTTGTTATTGCAAAGATATGCAGGCTGTTGTCTACAATTTACTCAAAGGAAGTCTAAGGCAAAGACTAAAACAGCTGAGGTGGTCTGAGAGGATGCAACTTGCCATTGGTGTGGCGAGGGCACTGGACAACCTCCATTCCTCCTCCCCTCCTGTCATACACAGAGATGTAAAGTCGTCTAACATACTTCTCTCTGAGAATTGCCAATCACAGGTAAGTTCTTTTAGCTACCTTCCCAATGTTAATTTCCTTTCAAGATTTCAACAAATTAGTGATTGGGAAACCAAATTATGCGGCTAAGATTCTGTAGTTCTACCTGCAAAAAGTGGGAAAGTAATTGGTAAGTGATGACAAACGAGAATTTTGCTTTCAGTAATGCCGATACAAGACCTTGCCCATAAATTGCTCAGATGTGCTTGTTTGCTGTAAACATTTACATCCGAGTACTGCTTGCTTTTCTCTAACCCTTCAAATATCGATTTTTAGTTATATCTTTCAGACCTTGGCTAATTATTCAGATTTCACCTTATATTGATATTTCTTTTATGGTGCATTTAAGCGTTCAAGCGATAGCCTTTGAATGAGATCTATCAAATATTGAGGTAAATGTGACATATTAACATTTTGGAGCAGCTATCAGATTTTGGAGCAGCAACAGTACTCCACCAAAACAAGCAAACGTCGTCAGTGTTCTCGAAGCCAATTCATGTGGTTGGAACTTTTGGTTACCTGGCCCCAGAGTACATGATGTATGGCAAAGTTGACGAGAAGATAGACGTGTATTCTTATGGTGTTGTGCTGTTGGAATTAATCACAGGGAAAGAGGCTATTCAGGCGAAATCTATGTCTAATCAAGAGAGCTTGGTTTCATGGGTAATGTTGAAATTAATGACCCTTACTTCAAACTACACAATTGACAAAAAAGCAGGATTGATTCATATATATATATATACACACACACACATATATTGCCGATACTGATACTGACAATGCCAATGCGATTGTAGGCAAGGTCTCTTCTTAGTAGCGGTCTGTGTGAACGCTTGATTGATCCTAATCTAAACCAAGATTATTGCCAGGATGAGATGAAAATGATGATGATTGCCGCCCGTCTATGCCTCCTGCATTCATCATCTAGAAGGCCAACTATGAAGACGGTAATTTTTGTGCTGACAATTCATCATCATTCGTGGAAGTAGTATAAACTTACGACCGTCCTGAGTCCACTTGTGATCTCAGTGTTGCCTTTCCAAATTTAGATAAACCTTAAAGAAGCATGACTTGAACCAAGAAGTTTGAAGCAACTATCTGGAGATGATATGATAGGAGATTATTAAGAATCTTAATGGCTAAATTAGTACGTCCTTTTGTTTTTAACAGGTTTTGAATCTGCTCGAGGAACCAGATCATTGGCTCGCAATGCCTACCAAAAGAGAAGAGCTCCTAATTATAAACGGTGATTCCAGAGAAGAAATAGAATTTTGCAGCAGACGTAAAGAATCAGTTTTCAGTGAAACTTTGTTAATGGACGATGGATAGCTAGCCGTTTCCCATCCGCAGATACACTTTCACTATAAGATGCATCAAAATCCAGCTCGCGTGCCTTAAGTTTATGTACATTTCTAGGTGGTAAATACTACTAGTATATGTATCCGTGGTGCTTATTGGTTTTGTAACATCCCACTCTGCAGGAAACAGAACCATCACCTGTAAAGAGCGAATGGTAAAACAATCTATATGTTTCTTGGATTCCAATTACAAGACTTTGTGACTCGCTTTGTGTCTTGTTAACATGCGCGCGGGGAATAGTGGATGATATGGTAACAATTTAACACGAGGCAAACCGAGAAATCAGAAATGAACGGAGAGAAATCTCTTCTACAAGGAAAACACGAAAGTCATGGGAACAAAAAAGACAAAAATTAGCATCAAGTTTATTAGTTTTGCAGAAGCATACCAGTTACGAAGCACTACAGATGCAAAATCACAAATCCTTCAGAAGAGCTTATAATCTCCTGTCAGGTCACATGATGGCGAAGTTTGTGAATAAGGGGAGGGCAATGGTGAATGAGGATTGTTCCATGCTATAATCATCTTCACAGTTGAACCAGCTGAGCGAAGTTAATAGGGGATACGTAGAGAGGTGGACCAGCATAGAGCGTATTAGCTGCCAGGTTAGCAGCAGCTTGAGTCGGGTGGAATTGATCCCAGAACAAGTACTCCTGACGCTTTAAGCAGAGATTTGCAGTTGCATTATGTCAACAGGTATCTTGGGAGGAAAACATCTAGTCACACTATTATGAGTGACCAACTAGTATTTATAGGAGTACAAACCTAACAGACTATTTACAAGAATACCCTTACTAATTTATTATCTATAAGAATACTAATATTCTCCTAACACTCCCCCTCAAGTTGGAGCATATATATCATAAGCACCCAACTTGTTACAAATATATTTCACCCTAGAGCCCCCTAAACTCTTAGTAAATACATCAGCCAATTGATCTACAGACGGTACATGAGATGTCTTGATGACCCCGTCAAGCAATTTCTCTCGAATGAAATGACAATCAACTTCAATATGTTTTGTCCTTTCATGAAACACTGGATTAGACGCAATATGAACAGCCGCCTGATTATCACACACTAAATTCATAGGCTGTTTATGTTCAAACCCAAGTTCCAGTAACATGCTCTTCACCCAAACCAACTCACACACAGTGTGAGCCATAGCGCGGTATTCAGATTCTGCACTTGATCTGGATACAACTGTTTGCTTCTTACTCTTCCACGACACTAAATTACCACCAACAAACACACAATATCCTGTAGTCGATCTTCGATCTGAGGCAGAACCAGCCCAATCTGCATCACTATATCCTTCAATATCATTGTGTCCATGATTTTGATACAGCAACCCTTTTCCAGGAGCATTTTTAAGATACCTGAGAATCCGTATAACAGCATCCCAATGACTAGTACGAGGGGTATCAAGAAATTGACTCACAACACTCACTGCAAACGAAATGTCAGGTCTCGTTACAGTGAGATAATTTAATTTACCCACAAGTCTTCGATATTGCTTAGGATCATCAAGTAATGCACCTTGATCTCCTGCTAATTTCACATTGGGATCCATAGGAGTATCCACAGGTCGGCAACCTAACATCCCAACTTCACTCAACATATCGAGTACATATTTTCTTTGACATAAATAAATCCCATATTTAGACCGAGCTACCTCAATACCCAGAAAATACTGTAGATGACCTAAATCCTTTGTCTGAAAGTTTGCCTGCAGATTGGATTTAAGTTTCTGAATCCCCACAACATCATCACCTGTAATCACAATGTCATCCACATAAACAACTAATAAAATTTTACCAGCATTAGAATGCCGATAAAATACAGAGTGATCTACTCCACATCTTGTCAGACCGAACTCCATGACAACACTACTAAACCGGCCAAACCAAGCCCTCGGGGACTGTTTCAATCCATATAAGGATTTTTTCAAACGACAAACCAACCGCGGATTCTCCCCCTGAACAACAAATCCAGGAGGTTGTTCCATATATACCTCTTCTTCCAAATCTCCATGCAGAAATGCATTTTTCACATCCAACTGATGCAATGGCCAATTATAAGTTGCTGCCAAAGAGATAAGAAGACGGACAGAGGTAATCTTTGCAACAGGAGAAAATGTTTCTAAATAGTCTACTCCATACACCTGAGTAAATCCTCTAGCTACCAACCGAGCCTTCAATCTATCAATAGAACCATTAGGCTGCACTTTTATAGTGTACACCCATTTACAACCAACAACAGGCTTACCTGAAGGACGAGGGACAAGATCCCAAGTACCATTTTGTTCCAAAGCAGACATCTCTTCTTGCATAGCTAATCTCCAACCAGGATGATTAAGAGCATAGGTAATAGACTTAGGAATAGAGATAGAATCAAGAGAAGCAACAAAAGAAGAATATGACATAGAGAGACGAGAATAAGAAACAAAATTAGAAATAGGATGGGAAGTACAATGTCTCTTACCTTTGCGTAAAGCAATAGGAAGATCTAACTCAGAGGAGGGCGTCATACCTGGATTTGAAGATTGAGAGTTAATTGGTGAAGTGCGTGGCATATCAGGAACTTTCTCAACCATGGAACGACGAGAGTAAACTTGAAGATGAGGACGAGATAATCGAGCTATGGAATCTGGTGGACTAGACAACTCAGGTAATAAAGGGGAAGGGACTGGTAAAACAGGAGAGGAAAAAGAGGGACACTGGTCTAATTCACAAGACATACTTTGCTTGATAAAATACGGAGTGGATTCAAAGAAAGTAACATCAGCACAAGTAAAAAATCGATTTAAAACTGGACTGTAACATCTATACCCTTTTTGCGCTCGTGTATATCCTAAGAAAATACACTTAATAGCACGAGAATCTAATTTATCCACCCCGGGAGCAAGCTGATGAACAAAGCACACACATCCAAAAATACGAGGAGGCAATTTAAACACAGATTCATGAGGAAAAAGAATGGAGTGAGGTAATTGACCTCCAAGAATATTAGATGGCATGCGATTAATTAAATAACATGCAGTTAGAATTGCATCACTCCAAAATTGTTTGGGCACATTCATGTGCAACAATAGTGTTCGAGCAATTTCGATTAAATGCCCAATTTTTCTTTCAGCAACTCCATTCTGTTGTGGAGTGTGAGGACAAGAGGACTGATGAATAATACCAGACTTAGTCATAAAGGTATTAAAAGGAGTGGAAAAATATTCTTTCGCATTATCACTGCGAAGTATACGTACAGGCACACCAAATTGATTCTTTATTTCTGTAACAAATGCACAAAAAATGGAATATAATTCTGAACGATCTTTCATTAAATAAAGCCATGTAACTCTGGAAAAATCATCAACAAAGACTACAAAATATTTAAAACCTAACTTTGAAGTGACTCGACTAGGACCCCAAACATCAGAATGAACTAACAAAAAAGGTTCAGAAACCCGTTTATTGACTCTAGGAGCAAAAGAAACACGATGATGCTTTCCTAACTGACAAGACTCACATTCTAACGAAGATAATTGATTCAAAGTAGGAACCAACTTTTTCAAATTTTGTAAAGACGGATGACCTAAACGACAGTGAATTTCAAGAGGAGAAACAGTAGCAGGACATGCTATCGGACCATTGAAGTTGAGAAAATAAAGACCATTATGCTCATGCCCTCCACCAATCATCCTCTTTGTCTTCAAATCCTGAATGACAACAGAATCAGGAGAAAAAGTAACTGTACACTGTAGAAATTTAGTGAGCTTACTAACAGACATTAGATTAAATGGCAAATTGGGTACGTAAAGAACAGAAGATAGCGGAAGTGATGGATTAATTTCTACAGTGCCTAGTCCTTTAACTTTAGTAGTAGATCCATCAGCTAAAGTAACATGAGGAAAGGGAGTTGACTCTTGAAAATTAGAAAAAATTTTAGAGGTACCTGACATATGATCAGTAGCCCCGGAATCAATAATCCATGGGTCATTACCTTTTTGTGCTAAAGAAGCAGAGGGAAGAGATGCGTGATTTGTAGCTTGGTACTGTAGGAATTTAACATAATCTTCCTCAGATATAGTAACAGTTTTCTGGGACCCATGTGTTGAAGAACTTGATTCAACTTGGTCAGTGATAACCGTATTAACAAACCTTTCAACCATAGCGAATAGCACGTCAAACGAAAGAACGGGTCAAAACTTGAGACAAACGCGTGAACAGTAACGGCATGAACAGTAACTACGTGAACAGTATCGGCGTGAACAGTGCCGTGAACAGTATACGTGAACAGTGCCGCTATGAACAGTGCGGCGTGAACAGTGATTTGCTAGATGTTTTACCCTAACCCTAGGACTTTTGCTCTGATACCATGTCAACAGGTATCTTGGGAGGAAAACATCTAGTCACACTATTATGAGTGACCAACTAGTATTTATAGGAGTACAAACCTAACAGACTATTTACAAGAATACCCTTACTAATTTATTATCTATAAGAATACTAATATTCTCCTAACACATTACAACCCTGTTCTGCGTTCAACTTGCCAAATCCGCAGCACGCTTTGTCCACGCTCGTGAAATCTGAGGGAACATTTTTTTTTTATTTAGCCGTCCATGATTCCACTTATGAGGTATAGATAAAGAATTATTGTGGTATTTGTAGTAGAAGTAACTCGAGATGAAGATTATTTGGCTTACGGAAGGGCTGTGGATTGTTGATGACATTGATGGTCATTAAGTAAGCATTTCCAAGTGAGTACTTCAAGTCCTCAAGCTCAGAGCCAATGCCGTACAATAGGGTCTCAAGTGCTGAATAAAAAGCTCTTGCCAACCCATTCAAGGCGTCGGAGCATTTTCCTTGAGCACCCAGAAGTCTAATGGTTGGGCAGCAACCGATTGGCGGCACACTTATGATGCCAAATTTCCGTGCTCCAAGGCTGTATAAAGTCTGATGATCACGTTAAAAACAATAAGAGTACTCCATCAATTCCTGAATTCTGAGCAAAGAACTTTCGTTTTGATCATTGAATAAAAAACCTTGTCCTAGCTACAAGACCGACTGAAAGCAAATCTTACTTTGATAGAGTTCTCGTATTCTTTCATGAGGAGGTAAATAAACTCCTGTGGAGTCGTGCTGCTATTGGAAACAACATAGTCAAAGAGGTCATTGCTTCCAATACTGATGCAA